CTGCTCCAGTTAAAAAAGACTCGCTGCGCTGCAGTAGCCTCTTGAGACCATCCTGATCTCGCGAGCTTTCAAGGTTTCACTCGCAGATCAGTCTGGAGACTCTCCGTTAAAGAAGATTTGGAGCCGTTCACCAAACGAACGTCCAATCAGCGTTGGCTTTGAGGCGGGTTGAGGTGTGACGCAACGAGAAGCGCGACAGTTCAGTCTAAAGAACATGGTGGCTTCAGCCGATTAAACTAGCGTTAGCGTGGCTATCGAGCAAGTTTTATCGGAATTACAGAGTATTTCTCAGAGGAAAAGATGTTTTTGCTCTTCTCCCGACTGGTTTCGGCAAGAGTTTGATCTATCAATTGGCTCCTCTTCGTCGTCGCTCTGTTAGTACGTCATATGCATCGTTGATCTGATTGGTTTATTTGGCCCGTCTATCACCAACATAGGCCAATCAGCTAACCAGTATTTTCTGCACGAGTAGATCTACAAGGAAGTTAGGACTGTTATTCAGACATAACTCTGGATGAACCAGTGATCTACTTTTTCAGCGCATCTTGGGCTTCAGCAGTCTATAATGTTAGGCTAAGTTTAACCTGTGCTTTTATTATGAAGTGCCGAAAGTGAGACCATGACAGGTAAAGCAGGGAGGTTGCCAGGGGTGACAGCAGGTCTAAACTGAACAATCTGGGAGGCTGATGGACAACTTGATATTTTAAAACAATCATTCCAGCCACTAACTTAGGTAAACATGTACACTGTAATAAATAATAAAATAAAATGCCAGCGTAAAAATGTCATATTACGTATGTTATGCAAGTTTATGCTCTGAAACGGGCTTAGCATTAATGTCTGCTCCGATGGTGACGTCAGCGGTCAAAATTAATAGTCAGCTAGTTGAACCCCAGATCACCTAAAACTGAATCTTTAACAGCTCTGAAACAAAATGAGCACATATGATCTTTTTTATTATATTGATTTATTTTATTTTTTAAAAATGACCCTTTTAACAGCAAAAACCTGCACTAACGAAGCACACACCATTCATCCTATCAGCTGAAGCTCCTCCTATTTGCTGATGCAGACCAGGGTGTAAACACTGTGGAGAGAGGTGAACTCCCAGCATCTGAAAGCACTTTTAGTCAATCTCACCCAAATGTTGAATAGTTTTGCTTCACAATCCTCCTGAGGGTGCATTTATCCTGATTGCTTGTACATGTTTCTTTAACATATCTTCTTTATCTCTCTATTAATGTGATTTCACACTTAGCCCTGTGAACAGCCAGCGTCTTTAGCCGTGACCTTTTATGTCTGGCTCCATTTGTGCGAGGTGTGAATGGTCGTCGTTTGGACAACTGTCAAGTCTGTAGTTTTCCCAAAGATTGTGTAGCCTACAGAACTACGCTGAGAGACCGTTTACAGGCAGGTGTTTTCAGCAGATAAGAGTTTAAAACCAGGTGTCTTCACCTTTTCACAATATTCAAATTTCCTGAGATGCTGAATTTGGTGTTTTCATTAGTTGTCGAAGAAAAAAAAACACTTGAAATTGTTAAAATGAGGAAGTTATGTCCCCTAACGGTTATGTCCTCACGGTTCTTTTCCTGGGAGCAAGTTATTTACTACTCTTAACTCAAACTTGGTAAAACCATATAAAAAAGGACTATAAAAAAGAAGTAAAAAAATAACAGAGTTTATTCCAGATCAGGTCGTTACAGGACAGAGAAAATGCTTGGAGCTTGAACAGCTCTGGGCTCAAAAATCACGTCCGCGAGCGTCCGGCAAAGATTGAGCCCCGAACAAGGTCATCTCCTGCTTCTTATAGCTCATGAGTCTATGGGCCGGATTTATCAAGATCCAATTTTGCGTGCAGTAATTTGCCCGCAAGCTGGAATTTTGCGCGAGGGGCTGAACCATGGTTTGCGGGTGATTTAACAAGAGTGATTGCGTAACTGGTGGCAGGTGCAAAACTGTAGGAGACACCCTATTTAAATTATGGTTTTGCGCGTTTTGTGGTTTGCGGCAAAGTAGTTTGTAGTTTGTACAAACTAGTGCATTAAGAAATTTTAATCTTACAGTGACACCCCCACCCCCTCCAAAAAAAAAAATAAAAAATATATATATATATATATATAAAGTCTTTGGCAACCGTTATTCCCTAAGGTGGTATGTGGCTGAATTTCTACTTCACTGCAGTTTAAAAAAAACAACAGGTGTTTTGTATTGGCCTGTAGAAAAATGCACATACCAAATGGCTCACAACAAGTGACTGTGGATGAGATTACTGCGCGTACGCATCCCCGCAGCATTGACATGTTGCTCCACAGGTGCAGGGGGGGAGGTCGGGGTTCTCCGGTAGGGCGTCAGGGCGACATGGCATTTAGAACGTCGGACAGCAATCTGGTATTGCGTGGGTCCTCCTTGTGGCTGGCTCAAAATCCATTCGGAGTTCCCCCAACAGCTCCAAATTGGCAATGCTGGATAAACGAAATGCTTTGATGATCGTTTCCTCGTTCATTCCAAAAATATTGACACGGAGTGAAAAAATGCGTTCTCTGCGTCTCCTTGCTTCATTTCCATGTCTCCTTCTTGCGACAATAACCGCTGCCATGTGTGCGCAATTACGCATACAGACCATTTGCACCTTCTTTTGAAACGTGTTAAATATAGAGTCAGATACCGTTAGCAAAATTGCTTTCAGGTTTGATAAATCACTTTGCGAGTGCTAAATTAATATATTTACATGTTCTCCTCCCACAAGACGCACTTTTGCGTGTAAACGCCCCATATTGCATATTCATTGCAGAAAAAGTACTAAATGGATAAGAGGCGCTATTTAGCACGTTTTAAAGGAATAGTACACCCAAAACATGATTAGCCTTCATTTTCTACTCACCCCCATGCTGAACAACACTCTGGAGAACTTTTTTGATATCTCAAATGCATCCCGAGATCTGGGAGGCTTCTTGCTGTCTGCTGACATTCAAATAATGGAGGTCTATGGCGCCCGAGACAGAAAGGTCCATAAAAGTCCACAAAAACGTGTCAATATTCCTCCATACTGCTCGTTCAATGTATTCCAAGTGTCCTGAGTGGGTAGCGTCCATAATTTACTCGAAACGAAGTCATTTAGAATGTTTTTAGAGCATAAACAGTAGTGTATAGGATTTCCTGAAAGCGCGTTCACGAGTCTACGGAAGCCGGCAGACCAAACCAGATGAAAGTGCGCATTCAGCGTCTGCTCTGCCGATAATGCAAGTGTAGAAGAAGAAATGTGCTGTTTACCTGTGCAAAGAAAGAAACAACGAAAGAAAAATGTCTGAGGACTTCAGTGTTGAGGAAGAGCATGAGTTCTTAGCCGAGCTGAATGCGCACTTTCATCTGGTTTGGTCTGCCGCGGTTTCCGTAGACACGTGAACGCGCTTTTAGGAAATCCTATACACTACTGTTTATGCTCTAAAAAACCTTCTAAATGACTTCGTTTCGAGTAAATTATGGACGCTACCCACTCAGGACACTTGGAATACATTGGACGAGCAGTATGGAGGAATATTGACACGTTTTTTGTGGACTTTTATGGACCTTTCTGCCTCGGGCGCCATAGACCTCCATTATTTGAATGTCAGCAGACAGCAAGAAGCCTCCCAGATCTCCAGATGCATTTGAGATATCAAGAAAGTACTCCAGAGTGTTGTTCAGCATGGGGGTGAGTAGAAAATTAAGGCTAATCATGTTTTGGGTGTACTATTCCTTTAAAGACCAAATCCTTTTAGCACGCTGTTGATAGATCAGTTTGTACATTTTTTAGCGTGCGCAGTGAAATAGCTCACGTTTTTATACACGCAAACCTTTGATAGATCCGGCCCTATGTGTTGCATCATGTTGATGTTTAGCTGTCCGTATCAGAAACCGACACGCCATCCATGTTTTGAACTTCATGCAGCTTGCCTCTATGCCTCAGGGTTACAGATAGCTCTCCTCTATCAGACCGGCTCCAAGATGTTCCCATATCCTGTGTATTTTTAAAGACACGAAGGCTGTCCTGATTAGATGACCTCCGTACACACAGTGACATCCACAATGTGAAGGAAGGCCTTCTACTCTGTCTTAATCTGATGTATAAATAATAAACCTAACAAAATATATTAGTCTGAGTGTAATGATTATATATAAAAGATTATGGAATGAAATTGCTGAAAAAAAACAAACTTTTTCATAAAATTGTAATTATGTGACCATCATCGTATAAGAGCAGTAAAGGACTGATGCAAGCAGTGAAGTCTGTTTAGGGCGACGTAATTTATTTTAGTTTTGCTAGACGGGAGATCACATCGCCAGGAGCAGGGCTGAAGGTGTTATAAAGCTCAATACTTTTATCCAACTTTAATGAAATCCAAATTCCCCGGGAAAAGTTTTTGAAAATACAGTTGAATTTGAACTGTAAATTGTTGACAACTTTATTTTATAAATCCCAAAAAGCAGAAAGAAGACTGCCCCATCGCCCAACCCTATTTACAACAAGATGAAATCTCAGAAAAAGAACCTTTTAAGACTTGCTGCTGTCAGCTGATTTATTTGTTAAGTCTATAAACAAAGTTTGTTTTTCACGCAAAAAGGCATAAATTTTAAAATCATTAAAATTGAGTGTAGTATGCTTCTGTAATTCTGCATGTTTTGGTTGGCAGTGTATTTACCAAGGCTAAGTATGCTTGCTTTTATGCACATCTTTGTATATATATTTATACATATACAGTTTTGCAAAGTATATGTATGCACAGATTTGGAAGATGTTTTTTAAGTGCATGTATCACATTTGACTGTGAATGATATGAGAACATTGCTAATAAGATTTTATTTTCCTGCTTTTTCTTTCTTCTTTATCGGCCTTTTCTGTCCCCTTCTTTAATCTTTAAATCCACATATCTCTTTCCTTCCTCCTGTCTTTCATTGCATTCTTCTTTCTCTACTTTGCTTTCTATCTTCCCTCTATTAACACCCGACCTTGCCCCACCCAGACTGCGCAGTGTGAAGATGGAGCAGAGAAAACTCAACGATCAGGCCAACACATTGGTGGACCTTGCAAAGGCAAGTCTTCTTTCCTTCTATGGGGCTTCTTACAAATTAAGCAAAGTTGCATTAAAGATGTTTTCTTACTTTCTAATGCTGCTTGACATCAAAAGTTAAGATCAATGAAGATTATAACAAGCGCTCGTACATTTGCAACAAGTTGCTTTGAAATGTATGAGGCTAATGCAAATTTGAGGAGGTACTGTGTAACATTTTTTAAACCCTTAGTGGACTTGAGATTTGCCGTGGTCCTTTAATTCCTGTAGCGAATCCACAATAAAATAATATAAGAATCATGTTGAATAGAAATAGACTAACACTTTAACAAGTCAGAGACAATGGTACAGAATCAGCAGTGAAACAACATGCACGCAGTCTCAATTCAATTCAGTTTATTTCTATAGCGCCAATTCACAACACAAGTCATCTCAAGGCACTTACAGCTCAACCAGATCATCCAGTCAAATTGATTCAAAGTTTTCTATCTAAGGAAAACCAGCTGATTGCATTGACTCATTGACTTGAAGACAATCCCTCACACTAAGCATGTTTGTAGTGACAGTGGAGAGGAAAAACTCCCTTTGAACAGGAAGAAACCTCCAGCAGAACCAGGCTCAGTGTGAGCGGCCATCTGCTGAGGCCCACTGGGGTTCAAGGAGACAGAAGCAGAGATACAAACAGCAACTGTAAAAGGCGGCCCCGTCCAGAAAACACACAGCCAGGCAGGCGAGCACTGAGCCAACAAAGTCTAAAGCCCAAAAGCTCCAATCTATGGGATGGATTTCCTTTCTGTGTAATGTAGAGTGTCTCCTAAGTGAATTAGTGAAAACAAACTAAGTTTTTGCTATAGAGAGATTGTATCTATTAGAACAGATATTTCCTATTTATTTGTACATATTGTTAAGTGAGTCCAACAAGTTAAAGTTAAATAACAATCCACTGGACTTCGTTTTCCAAGTTTGAAGACATTTCGCTTCCCATCCAGGAAGCTTTCTCAATTCAAAGTTACTGGATTAGCATTGAGTTCCAGGCTTTTATAGAGTAGCCTTGTAATGGCTTAAGCCCGGCATACACTGTATGATTTTTGGCCGACTATCCAGTCATGCCAGAATGTTTAGATCGACCATCTTTCAGCCTGATGTAGTGTGCAGGGGGTAATGAGGGGCGATCGGCCTCTCACGACCAACTCCCGATCAGGAATCGTAAGGTTGGGAGTAGTGTTGCGCCGATGCCATTTTTTTGGCCCCAATACCCGATACCTGGCTGTGCAGTATCAGCCGATACGATACCATAATAATGTAAAATAATTGCCATCATGGCTTTGTCAAGCTGCTGCCTACCTTTGTGAATCACGAAAAAATCTAATACAATGTAAATCCAGTAGAACTTTTTATTGCCTACCAGGAATGGGTGACAATAGTTGAAGAAACTTATGGCTCTCAAAATATTATCGGTGCCCTATTTGTTGGTACTCGCCAATACCGATACCACCATTTTAGGGCAGTATCGGGGCCCCGTCCGATACTGGTATTGGTATCGTTGCAACACTAGTTGGGAGAAAATCAAACGTTTGAAATTCAGTCGGCCGTCGTGGGCAAATCACTCAGTGCGCAAACAAGGATTCTTCTTCTTCCTCTCAGATGAAAGCAGAGAAGCATGGCGGGGGTGCAATGAGTGAAATGGAGTTCTTTCTTTTAAGATTGACAGACCGTAGTAGCCATGTTTGCTCAACCATGTCTTTGTCCAAATATGTCGTCACCTTTTATTTTTAGGGCTTTCAGCACAAAATTGCGCAAATTTCCAAGGCAGCGCGTTTCACTCTAAATTCCGCTTCTACTCATTTGGCTTCCGGATAGAGGAGTCCGAGTGCCATCTCACTGCGGAGCTGAGTCCCACGTGGATTTTAGACGTTCAGTGTGAGCAGGTGCTGCACAGAGTGACAACTGTACAACAAAACCCTGCGGTTGTAGCTGAGTGCAATGATTGAAAAAAAATGCAGTGTACGCCCAGCTTTAGAAAACCTGCATCGTCCAAAGACGTAGCAACTTGATTTTAAAGTCGTAGGGAAGTCATATTTAAATGTCATATCATTCTGGCTTAAACGTGTCTATAAATGTACTTTTTATCAGACCGTATTGTCCCAAAATTTAGAAAATTTCCATATAAAAAAAAAAAAATCCTGTCTTAGAATCTGTAAGTTATACGTCAGCTTGAACACCTAAATTCGGCTAATCATATATCAAGGGTCCATCTGTCAATCATATTTTTTTGGTCGTAACATCTTGATTCATATGTCAACGGTCGAAATAAGAATCTTTGCAGAGTAATGGTGACCAAAAAAAATGGTAAAACAAAAATATCATATTAAAGGAATAGTACACCCAAAACATGATTAGCCTTCATTTTCTACTCACCCCCCTGCTGAACAACACTCTGGAGTACTTTTTTGATATTTCAAATGCATCTGGAGATCTGGGAGGCTTCTTGCTGTCTGCTGACATTCAAATAATGGAGGTCTATGGCGCCCGAGGCAGAAAGGTCCATAAAAGTCGACAAAAAACGTGTCAATATTCCTCCATACTGCTCGTCCAATGTATTCCAAGGGTCCTGAGTGGGTAGCATCCAGAATTTACTCGAAACGAAGTCATTTAGAATGTTTTTAGAGCATAAACAGTAGTGTATAGGATTTCCTGAAAGCGCGTTCACGAGTCTACGGAAACCGCGGCAGACCAAACCAGATGAAAGTGCGCATTCTATTCAGAGGGGCCCCCTGCCCGTCTTTGCCTAGGGCCCCAAATTTCCTAAATCCGCCCCTCTCCGTATATTTGATAAATATTTGTTTTCCTTTCTTTCTCTGTGAGAAACAGCGAATCAAACGTCAGGGTTTCTATTGAATTGGCCCTAGTCCCGCCCACTGGGTTTGATGGGTCAAGTTGACATTTCATGAAGAGTCTGCCCCACAGAAGCCATGAAATAAATAAATACAGAGTAAAACTATGAACGGTGTATGTAAATAAATGCATATTAAACTGTTATTTAATTATCCAATTTTTTAACTCTGAATTTGAATATTTACTTGTTTAAAGGTGCTTTGAGTTATTCAATCTTACATTTGATGGTATGTTTAATGATTTAATGACTTTTAATAGAAAATAAATAAATTATAAATATAAATGATGAAAAAAAATTATTGATAAAAAAAATGATAAAAGTTAGAAATAAATAAATACAAAATAAATGGTTGATTTGTTCATTAAATGTAAATATAATGGTAAATTTATTTAATTTTAAATTTCATGTTTTATATTATATTCAATCATACAGTTATTTATTCCATGACATATTTTGGTATTTCATTTTTTTCCTTTTAAACCTCTATATATATGTAGTCCTTAGAGTAAAATGTAAAGTGTATCTAAGCACAATAACACACATACATATATTTGTACTATTATAACAGCAAATGCTATTTCGTGCATTTGAAAAACTCATGCACAGTAACATGACCACCGATGCTGATCCTTCATTATGGAAACCCTTTTAATTACATAAATGGATCTTCTCAATCAAATGCACAAAGCATTAAAAGCCTTCTCTGGCTATAAATATACTGGAGAGGCTGGTTGTTAAATCTATGAGAAGATATAATCAATACTGACATATTAAAAACTGTGCATCTCCAGTTCTTCCTGCCTTCTACAGGTGTTGCCCCATAAAACTCTGTTTACGTTCATAGTTAATCCAACTATTCCTTATTTGTGCACATTAATTATGCTTTTGTTAAAACAGTTTTTGCTAAAATGCCATCAGAACGCTTATAATACCAAGTGTGTCTCAGTGTCCACCATATTGGATCAATCCATTTGCTGCACATGTTCAGAAAGGTCCAAACAGACAGCAGCAAACCATTTGAAAACAAACGATGCAAAGAGCAGTGTTGCCAACTTAGCACTTTAGTCGCTATATTTAGCCACTTTTCAGACCCCTCTAGCGCCTAGCGCCAAATTTAGCAACGTTTTTCTGCTACTGGAGACTCTGGCGACAACATCTAAAAGCAGCGAACTCTGCTCTCCTGAGCAAGTACATTGGTAACCCCGCCTCCTAGCCTCGTGAGACCATCCTGATCTCGCGAGCTTTCAAGGTTTCACTCGCAGATCAGTCTGGCTACTTTCCGTTAAAGAAAATTTGGAGCCGTTCACCAAACGAACGTCCAATCAGCGTTGGCTTTGAGGCGGGTTGAGGTGTGACGCAACGAGAAGCGCGACAGTCCAGTCTAAAGAACATGGCGGCTTCAGCCGATGAAACTAGCGTTAGCGTGGCTATCGAGCAAGTTTTATCGGAATTACAGAGTATTTCTTCACTGAAAGAAGAGCAAAACACTGCTCTGGAGGCTTTTCTCAGAGGAAAAGATGTTTTTGCTCTTCTCCCGGCTGGTTTCAGCAAGAGTTTGATCTATCAATTGGCTCCTCTTCGTCGTCGCTCTGTTAGTACGTCATATGCTTCGTTGATCTGATTGGTTTATTTGGCCCGTCTATCACCAACGTAGGCCAATCAGCTAACCAGTATTTTCGCCCCTTCCCAAAATTACTTCAACGGAAGGTTTCCAGATGGATATGCGGAGCAAATCCATCTGGCGGAGTCAGGTTACCCGCCTCCTGCATAGAGAGGAAAACAGCAATAAACGAAGAGAGGGACAAAACCTAGAACAAATAATGGATGTCTATTGTATTAAAATTTCTCTATCTGTATAATGAATCTGCTTTCTGTGTTGTCTTCTCAATTTAGAGGGCCCCCAGCCTGTCTTTGCCTAGGGCCCCAAATTTCCTAAATCTGCCCCTGCTTAGTTGGTCATTAGATTTTATTGTGAAATGTATTTTTCCTGTTTTATTATTGTGTCATTCTTGCACATGTAATTGTTTCTGTTTTTTTTGTCCACGTGTCTTTCCATCCTCTCCTTCATCAGACCCAGAATGTGATGTACGACCTGGTGTCAGAGCTGCAGGAGCGAAGCGAGGAGCTGGACAAGCGCATCGGCACGTTGGAGGACAAGCTGGACTCTGTGGCGGGCAGTTTGCAGGCACTGCCCTGCCTCATCTCCCAAGCCATAACCCAGCAGCAACAGGACTTCCTGGACGGCTTTGTTCACCGCTTTCGGCCTGCCTCTCTAGCGTCGGAACGCTCCGAGCGCTCAGAGAGATCTTGGACTTCCACCACCCGAAGGCGGCGCTCTCCCTCCACAGCACCACACACGTCTTCTGACAGCGGATAACCTCGACAGATCCCTCCGTTAGCCTCCCACGAGCTCCAACACCTTTTCCTGAAACCTAAACACAAACCCACATCTTGCTCATCTCTTCTCTCTCTTTCTCTGCCTTTTTTTTTTCTTTCCCACACATCAACCGAAAAAGAAAAAAAAAAACTAATCTGAAACCTCAAAATAATCCAGGTTCTCTGTGACTGAGCCTCTCAGCACAGGTCTGGATTAAAGCGTCTCCAAGAGAACAAGCAAAAGCAAACATAAAGACGGGAAAACACAAATGCATCCAAAACTGTCAAAGAGAAAATAAATAAAAATCAATTTGAAAAAAAATGGCCGAGATAAAGTAGAGATATGGTTTATGTTTTAGCCATTGTATGGCTGTTCCTGTTAGCTTTTTTTGTAAAAGCCCTTGTATAGTTAAAAAAAGAAAAAAAAAACGACTGAGGGTCGCTTCAGGGTCGCTGGGGTGAGAGCTGGCTATCACACCGGAGAGTCCTTAACCGCACGGGAGGATGTTGGTCTGGGGGAAACGGAGGTCGTCGGGTCACCTGCTGGCCCTCTGAGGCCGTGGAGGACATCTGTCCGTCCATCTGTCCGTTTCTCTGTTTGTCCAAGGAGAGATAAAACATTTGATTTCCCTCACAAAAGACAAGTGTCATGGATTCTTTGTCATAGTTTAGGGTGAAAGCTTTAGGAGAAAAAAACCACGGAAGCTCTGACGTTCAGGTCAGGGTGTGAAAAAAAATGCACTTCAAAGGGAGGAGAAACTGTCACATGAAAGAGTCGCTAAGAGGATGCTTATGGCATTTACTACAAGGTAGGAGAAATGTACTCGTTTGCCAACTTCAAGGTATCACCTTCCTTGTTCTTACCGAGGAAAAAAAGAGAGCAACTATCTTTTTTAGTTACATATTGACATGTGATTTTTCAGTGCCTGAATGTATAATAGTAGAGGGTTATTTAATTACTAATTTCAAAGCTTTTTTACAATGTCAACAGTCTGAATACAACATTGCATTCCTTTTTCAGATACATTCCTCTCCAAAAATGTAAAGAAACTTGTCTTAATGTAATGCATATCATTGCCTCCATTACACTGCAACTCCAAACGTTAAATATATATATATATTTTTTTTTCTATTTCTACTAACAATAACAGATCAAAAGTTCAGAGGTTTAATTTGGAGAGGATTTGTTCGTCGGGACGGAGAGTGCTGCACACCACGATGAAAAATGAAGTAGTCTTACCTTACTCACCGATTAATTAGAGCTTCCTGTGGTCTTTTTTAAAGTGGCATGGCTTGAATCGCATCCTACAAGCCACCCAGCCACGCGTCACCGGTCGGGTTTTTAATAAAAACCAACCAGACGGGGTTTTTTTTTTTTTTTTTTTTTTTTGCATGGTTCTGTTGAAAAATGACAAGAAATCACAATCTTCCTGCCTTGAATATTCACAATTTTTGCTTTTGATTATGTTACTTCTGTTTGTTTTTTTCGCTTTCTATCCTTTTTTAAATGCATTTTTACATTTTTAACTAGAATATCTAGCGTTTTAGATTTGCAGATCTTAGAGAGTTGCAGTAATGTTAATTCTGTAATGCATTCCCTGTTCAAAATATGAAGTAAAAAAAAAAACACTATTACAAAAGATTATTAAAAGGCTACAAATAAAAGTGTTGAAAATACCTACGGAACATTGAACTGATGGCTCTTCAAATGAGGCAGAAAGGTTGCCTTTCTTCCTGGCTTTCATGCTGACTGTTTGACTGTTATCACTCCTACGTCTGAACTGTAAATATCACATCAGGTTAAGGTAACATCAGCTCTTTTTTTTTCCGATTCCAGAGACTAAGACATTAAGATGTGTTCATAAAGTTTACAATTTGGTTTTATCAAAAATAAACAAGTAAAAATTATATTATTGTTCACTACAAACGATGGCCCCTATCCTAATGTCATAAACCACAGAAGAAGAAAATGAAAGAGAAACCAAGAGCTCCAGGGAATCTGTTTCTTACCAACATAGATTAACTAAACATGTAGAGACTGTGTCTTCTGTAAAACAAGACCATCCCATTGAGCAATAGCTGGGAATCCAGTCTCACCTTTACAATTTAGACCAGCGTATGCCTGATGTACGAAAAATCGGGCAAAAACACTGGCATACGTTCGATAAGTTATGAGCACACCGAAACACGCTGGGACATGTCGACATGGTACTTCAAGAAACTTTGAGGATGCTCAAAATGTCTCGACGTACGCCAGCATATGCCATATGTGGGGCATAAGTTACTAACCTGACTCCGCCAGATGGATTTGCTCCGCATATCCATCTGGAAACCTTCCGTTGAAGTAATTTTGGGAAGGGGCGAAAATACTGGTTAGCTGATTGGCCTATGTTGGTGATAGACGGGCCAAATAAACCAATCAGATCAACGAAGCATATGACGTACTAACAGAGCGACGACGAAAACACAACCACAAGCCAGGCTTTACACCTCTGACTCAGGAGTGGAAATGGACTTGAAGCTATTTACTCGAAAACACATAATATTTCCCCAAAGGTCCTAAAGTTTGATAGTCCTGTTATTTACAAAGTGCATTCATTCGTTTCACTCATCCTGTATTAATAAACACAGACCATCTCTTTGTCTTTTCCACACTCTGTACTTTTGCATGAGCTGCAGCGCCGCCAATAACATCAACCAGGAGAAAAAATAAATAGATGAATGCGCTCCAAAGAACGATTTCTCTTTACCAAAACTATAAAATGCTCCAAACGTGTAAGAAGAGGAAAAACGTACAACTATGACCGACGTTTGAAATTGGATAAACTAAAGAAGCCATTTCTTTGTTTGTTTGTTTTGTTTTTTGCTACCATAAGATTAGCCTTGTGAGACCATCCTGATCTTTCAAGGTTTCACTCACTAATCAGTCTGGAGACTCTCCGTTAAAGAAAATTTGGAGCCGTTCACCAAACGAACGTCCAATCAGCGTTGGCTTTGAGGCGGGTTGAGGTGTGGCGCAACGAGAAGCGCGACAGTTCAGTCTAAAGAACATGGCGGCTTCAGCCGATGAAACTAGCGTTAGCGTGGCTATCGAGCAAGTTTTATCGGAATTACAGAGTATTTCTTCAAAGAAAGAAGAGCAAAACACTGCTCTGGAGGCTTTTCTTAGACAAAAAGATGTTTTTGCTCTTCTCCCGACTGGTTTAGGCAAGAGTAGCCTGGCTTGTGGTTGTGTTTTCGTCGTCGCTCTGTTAGTACGTCATATGCTTCATTGATCTGATTGGTTTATTTGGCCCGTCTATCACCAACATAGGCCAATCAGCTAACCAGTATTTTCGCCCCTTCCCAAAATTACTTCAACGGAAGGTTTCCAGATGGATATGCGGAGCAAATCCAGCAAATCCATCTGGCGGAGTCAGGTTACCATAAGATAGCTGGTTTTAGCCAACTTCATCTTATTAAGGAATATTTGGTTGCACAGATTTCATTACACAAAAAGACTTTAAATGACTTGAAATTTAAAGAATTTCTTGGGACTTGACTTTCAAACAACTCTTCTTGACTCGACACTTGACTCTGATTTAATTGTATTTGCTGGAGGCTGGTCTAAAGAAAAGACCGGAAACATGTTAAGCCAGGCGTACGCTGTACGATTTTCTGCCCTTTTTGGGACGATTCTCCTAACCTGACTCCGCCAGATGGATTTGCTGGATTTGCTCCGCATATCCATCTGGAAACCTTCCGTTGAAGTAATTTTGGGAAGGGGCGAAAATACTGGTTAGCTGATTGGCCTATGCTGGTGATAGACGGGCCAAATAAACCAATCAGATCAATGAAGCATATGACGTACTAACAGAGCGATGACGAAAACACAACCACAAGCCAGGCTACTCTTGCTGCTGCAGGTGAAGGCTCGTTAGCTCAGCAAATAAGCAACATGTCGGCAAAGAGCAGTGTTTTGCTCTTCTTTCAGTGAAGAAATACTCAGTAATTCCGATAAAACTGGCTAGTTTCATCGGCTGAAGCCGCCATGTTCTTTAGACTGAACTGTCGCGCTTCTCGTTGCGTCACACCTCAACTCGCCTCAAAGCCAACGCTGATTGGACGTTCGTTTGGTGAACGTCTCCAAATTTTCTTTAACGGAAAGTAGCCAGACTGATCTGCGAGTGAAACCTTGAAAGCTCGCGGGATCAGGAAGGTCTCACGAGGCTACGATTCTCCAGTCGTGCGAGAATTTTTCGATCAGACCGAGTTTCAGCCGGATTGTGCGTCCTGCGTTGTGTAGTATACAAGGGACAACGGGGGGCGATCAACCTCTCGCGAACACCTCATGATCAGGAATCGTAAGGTCGGGAGAAAATCAAATACGTTTGAAATTACACACATGTACACTACATGACGCCAATCAGGCTGAAAGTCAGCCCGATGGAAAAAAATCTCACACATCTGGAGAATTAGCCTGAAACGGGCAAAAAAATCGTACAGCGTATGCCCTGCTTAACAGGATCAGGGAAATCTTAGGAATTCCCATCATCTTGGGTAACACAGGAGGCACTCTTCCACATGTTGGAACCACTTGCAATCCATCCATTGAAGGTCACATCGTCTAAGGGCATGCTCTCTTTGCAAATCTCTGTTTTAAGTGGATGGTTTTATAAATTTTTGGGTTTTACAATTTAAAAAAAATACAGCTTGGATGGAGCTTGATGAAAAGAAAGGTTAGGGCTTCATCTCTAGTAATGCAGACCCTGCTAATATATTTTAAGCTGAGGCTTTCTGCATCTCAAACAACTGAGTCTCAAAAAGCAAAGCTTGCAGTTTACCTGTCTGTCTACCTTCCAGCACTCAGCTGTATTCATGACCTTTGGCTGAATGGATGTGATCCAAAATATGAACAGCAAAAAATTAGCTTTAGCTGTAGGATGTCTCCCTAAATATATTTTAGATTTCATCTGTCCGAGGAATACCCTAGAGTCCCCCAGAAGGGTCTCCCTCCCTCCTAGATCTGTTAGCGCCTTGGTTCCAATTTGGCATTAGCCGTCATTTTCCTACATCTTACTCCGGCTGCAACTAACAATTATTTAGCAAATAAGGTAAAACAAACTTTTCCACTTGAGGTGTTCTGGATTACGGAAGAGGATTAGGGCCACTGAAAAAAAAAAGTTAACTGATTTTTAAATTTTATTTCAGTTTAACATGGGAAAAAAGTCAGAATTCTGACTTTAATCTCAGAATTCTGACTTTTTTCTCAGAATTCTGACTTTAATCTCAGAATTCTGACTTTTTTCTCAGAATTCTTACTTTTTTCCCAGTACTAAACTGAAATAAAATTTAAAAATCAGTTAACTTTTTTTTTTTTTCCACTGCCCCTAATCCTCTTCCGTATCTGGATAGAGCATATTGACAGACAAAAAAGATTTTTTATCTTAAATGCAAAATGTTTACATAAATGTAGAAATGTTTAATTCTGTTTTAGAGTCTACTCTCCAGTTTGCGATTAATCGATTACTAAATTCGTTGAGGATTATTTCAATAACAGATTAATCTGATAAATTTTTTTCAGCCCTACAATTTACCATCTTACCTTTTAATATAATTTCAGTTTAAGTCAATTTGTGCCACATGTCATCTGAAGGCCCTTTACAGGGCTAGCTTACTGTTCCGCTAACATCTGGATTATGATGTTATAAAAAGTTACCCTATTGTCTGTTAAATCTAACAGTGTTTTTCGGTATCTCCAAGCTGCATGTTTAAAAAGCTCCCAAGTTGAACCATGTGACACTTTCCTTGAGCCTCGACTGACCAGAGAGCCCTTTATTTAAGTGTTACATTTATTTTTTCCCTCAAATTTGAGTTAAGTGGAACTCAATCAAGAAACATTGTCTTTTTTTTTTACTTTAGTTAATGAATAATGACCCTTTACTGTTGCGTCTTCCCCTGTGTGGCTCCCCTCCATCACCATTGAGCACAGCACAGATTCAAGATGGTTAATAAAAGGTTTTCTAACATGAAGGGCGACTCCAAATTTTCACACCGTTATGAAACCTAGCATCAGAAAAGGAGCATTTTATCTTCATGCTTCTAGATAACCTAATGAACAAAAAGGCCTTTGAATAGTGAAAAAAGAAAAGATCACAGTAATGTTTTGTTTTACAGATACTCTGAGATATTCCATTGAACCTATGCGACAGATGGATTGAAATTCCCAGGAATAAAACGGAAAAATGATCGGAGCTGAATATTTACTGACAGACGTATTTTTGGCTCAGCAGTTTAGAGAGACGGAAGTTTTGCAGATTTGTCGTCATTTAAGGCGTTGAAAAGTTGAAAACTATGGAGTGAATTTGGTTCCATTATTGTTTCAAGCAAACTCAACTCAACTCAAACTTTATTTATAAAGCACATTTAAAACAACCAGGGTTGATCAAAGTGTTGTACAGATATCACAGTTGCAGGAAATAAGGTAAAAACTAAGATACATAAAGACAACGCAATAAAATAGAATGAAAATAAAATAAGTTAAAATTTAAATAAAAATTAATTTTTTTTTTTTTTTGCCAGATGTCCACTGAGACTTGATTAAAAGCCAGGAAGAAGAAGTGTTTTTTTAGGGAGGATTTAAAAACCTCAAAAGATCCTGCAGATGAAATGTGCGAGGGCAGGTTGTTCCAGAGCCTCGGTGCCGCTGTCACAAAGGCACGGTCACCTTTGGTTTTCAGTCTGGTTTTAGCATTACTCCCCATCAGCTCTCCGCTCAGATACGGAGTATTTGTCTGTCATGTTAATCAATGAGAGCCGTTCCACATACACTGCTACTCCTCCGCATCTCACTGTCCACGTACATCTTCCCCGTCCTTCACCATCAAAAATACGAACCCGAGCTAGTTTTTTGCTCTGCTCCAGTCCGG